AACAAAATTCCAAGAAATTACAGACCAATCAGCCTGACATCAATACCTGGGGAGATCTTGGAAAAGATAATCAAGCAACAAATCTGCCTAAAACAAACAAAATTATAACCAGAAGCCAACATGGGTTCTTTAAAAATAGGTCATGCCAAACAAATGTTTCATTCTTTGACAAAATGACTAAATTAGTGGACCAGCAAAATGTTGTGGACATAGTATACTTAGATTTCAGTAAAGCATCTGATAAAGTAGACCACAAACGACTTATTGGCAAGCTAGAAAAATGTGGGATAGACAGCACCACCAGCACATGGATTTGTAACTGGCTAACATACTGTATCATACTCAACATGTAGTCCTCAATAGAACTACATCCATAAAGAGGGTATTAAGCAGTGGGGTACCCCAAGGTTCTGTTTTAGGTCTAGTACTATCTTCATAAACAATCTAGATGAGGGGATGGAAGGGAAACTCATCAAATTTGCAGACAACATTAAGCTGGCAGGAGTAGCAAGATCAAGTTCTAAAAAGATCTTGACAAAGTTGAACACTGGGCCCTATCTAACAAAATGAAATTCAACATAGATAAAAGTAAGGTTTTATACTTAAGCAAGAAAAACCAACAGTATAGGTACAGACTAGGTGAAACTTGGCTCAATGCCAGTAACTGTGAGAGTGATCCTGGAGTTCTATTGAACAAGCATTTAAATATGAGCTAACAGTGTGCAGCAGCCAAAAAAGTCAATGCAATCTTGGGCTGCATTAATAAAGGGATAGAATCAAGATCACGTGAAGTTCTAGTACCACTTTGCAAAGACCACACTTGGAATACTGAATCCAGTTTTGGTCATCACAATATAAAAAAGATGCTGAGATTCTGGAAATTGTGCAGAGAAGAGCAAAAAGAATGGTCAGGGGGCTGGAAGCTAAAACATATGAAGAACAGTTACAGGAATTGGGTAGGTCTAATCTAATGAAAAGAAGAACTAGGGGTGACATAAAGCAGTGTTCCAATATTTCAGAGGTCAAACTATTTTCCAAAGCACCAAAAGGCAAGACGAGAAACAAGCGATGGAAACTAATCAAGGAGAGAAGCAACCTAGAATTAAGGAGAAATGTCCTAATTGTGAGAGCAATCAACCAATGGAGCAGCTTGCCTTCAGAAGTTGTGGGAGCTCCATCACCTGAGGTGACTGGTCAACCATTTGTCTGAAATGGTATAGGGTCTCCTGCTCAAGCAGGGAGACCTCCAAGGCCCCTTCTAACTCTTTTATTATTCTATTCTATTCTACTCTACTCTACTCTACTCTACTCTACTCTACTCTACTCTACTCTATTCTGCAATCCCACCAGATCATATACTTTTAACATTATTATGTGAGTTATATACAGTAATTATATTATATATTTTATATGCGGTCCAAGACAATTCCTCTTCCCTCAATGCAACCCAGGCAAACCAAAAGGTTAGACACCCTGCACTAGATCAAATCAGCTCTATTATAGCAGGTGAGAGAGCAATTGTTTCTAATCTCCATTGTGCCCGGCATGCAAATGAAAAATGGTTGTGCTGTTCAAGGGGACAATCTTATAGCTTGTAGTTTAAATCTGGATGTTTTAGTATAATAACAGAAAGAAAATGCATCTCATTACCATTAATAACTGAAGCAACACTTAGTATGAAAACCTTTTTCTTTCTTTCTTTTTTTTTTTTTTTTGCTGAATTGAATGCTCAAATCTATCTAGTCTTCATTTATTTTCTATGGCCACCCATCTCACAAAAGTGACTCTTTGATTGAAGGTATAGCACTTCATTCACTTCACCTATCATTTTACTCACTTCAATTATCATTTCCCATATTTTCTACATTTGTTATTTGTGACTTGTAAATGATTTTTTCCATGTGCAGCTGAACAAAAGATAGATAAATAGATAGATAGACAGATAGATAGATGGATGGATGGATAGATAGATAGATAGATAGATAGATAGATAGATAGATAGATAGATGTTTTCTGAGGGTTTCGCGGTATAACCAAAGACCTACATAGATAGATAGATAGATAGATAGATAGATAGATAGATAGATAGATAGATATTGTAATGCAGCTGTTTACCTCATTTCATAATATATCCCAATTCTAACTTCAAACTATGCTAGAGCCATCTCAATTTGGTATGATTTTAGCTGTAACACCTATCTTCTCCAGCCAACATGACCAAATTGGTGGTTGACTCTGGAAACAGAAGTTGCTGTCCAATAGAATCAAAGAATAATAAGCTGAAGAAGACTGAACTAGACCGTGGAAGACCAATACTCAAGAATATCTGTTCCACCTATGCAACAAAAGCTAAATTACAGACTTTTATATTCGAAGATGTAGAAAACAGGGAGTATAAAGGCACCACACTCATAAAAATGAACACTAAAGCAATTACACATTCCACAGATAAAATTCTTTGCAGAACTAATATAGTTTCAATGGGATACAAGAGTGAGTGGCATAATTTATCTAATGGTGATAATGTGATAACAGAAGTTTAGCATTCCTTCAATTCAATTTTTTTATCTTTAAACTAGCTACTAGGACTATTAATTATTATTGACTGTATGAATATATCTATGTGTGCAAATAAAAATTCTTAACAAGAATTCCTAGTATTATATTTAGTTTGGCTAAAATTTGTCATATTGGCATTCATGCAGTTATCTATCATAATTCCAGCTTCTATTCCCTTAACAGTCACACCCATGTCAGGCTCCAATATCCTATACTATGTTTTGCATTCCAACATGCCAAAAACCTAAAGAATATCAGTCCACACAATCGATTATAATCGGTTGCTTTTGTTTTAAATGTAAGATATGAACTATGACTAAGTTTTGCTAGAAGCTAAAACTGATTTTCACATTACAGTAAGACAGGTTCAAATGCTGCCACACTGTGGTCAATTTATTGGCTAATTTGAGCAAAAGTTATTAGCTATAAAATGGAACAGTGAGTGATCAGGATAACAATAAGAAAATAAGAACTATTAATAGGACATATTATAAATCTGAATGAAATAATTACAAGGAACAATATAAAGAATTCTCTAGAACATAAAAAGATAATGAATTAAGTTGATTTTTCCTGTACATAGGAATAAAGTACTATCCACTCATTTTTTCTTAAACAAGTTTAATTAATTAACTGATTTTACTCATAACAGTAGACTTTTAAGAATAATGCTGAAACTTTCTGAGTTCAGTGCTTTGAAAAAAAAATCCATGCAACTGCATGCAAAGACGCTTTCTTTTGTAAGTGATTTCTAAACTCTGCAATGTTTTTGCAGGTAGTATCTCAGGGTTATGCAAAATATTTTTTTTAGATTCACAGGAGCAGAAAGTGGCAATAAATGATTACTAAATAAATGTTTTGGTTTGTCTTGTCTTATTCAGAAGCATTATGATGTGCTACTATAACAATGCCTAAGATATTTATGACTTCCATGATTATCTTCAAAAACAGACATTCCTCTCTGGTCATGCTGGGTAATTTAAGGGTAGCTATAGCTAACTTTTGAGTATTAAAATTGCCAACATCATTTTAATGCTTCCCTTAGTCTGATCTAATAATACACAGAGTCACAAAAACAGAAATAAAACCCCAAAGCTGGAAGTGATGAAATAAGAGTTTTGATGGTGGAAATCATGCTATTTTTTTTTTTTTCAGTAAAATATTTAGTCTCTGGCAAGGGATGCTTTTGTAAGTGGAGCAGTGAGCAAGCTCCAACCCAAAAGCCCCCAAACCATCTATGAATAGGTGGTAGATTTTATTTTTTGTTATGTTGGGAATGCCAAAAGTTGCCATACAGACTCATACGCACCAGTTTATTTCACTGCTCTGGCAGACAGAGTAATTGAGGAGGAGGAGAGGGAGAGAGAATTTGTACCTCTGCTGAGAGCACAGCACCATCTCTGGCAATGCCAGCCAGCTCCTTCCTCTCTGTAGAAGCCACTAATAACCAATGACCTACTAGCTGACTCCAGGTCTATTACTTGAGGAAAAGACAAATAGATTTTGTTTAGCCTGACTTTCTCAAGAAGAAGAAAAAGTGGTGGGAAGGAAAAAGAAACAAAAGAAGCCAGTTCAGAACAGAAGGCAGAGATAGAGAACATCCTCTAGATTATAGCAAAGGATTCTGAGAGAAACAGCCTATATTCTCCATTTTTTTAAATATTCTGTCTTGTCTCTTCCCTCCCCCCCACTCCCTTCACATTTCTTAATACTAGTTATCTAATACTATATATATATGCATTATTTAATTCGAAACTTCTAAAGGATGAACATGACTACAGATTTCCCTCGGTCGAGCGTCTCTTTCCTGTAATTATATACCATTACCCCTCACTCCGCTGACTCCACTCCCTGGGAAAGGTCAGTGGGATGGGTGGTCCGTTAGATCCGTTTAAAAGCTCCCTTTAATACTTTACTTCCAAAAGAGGGGGAAAGCGAGGAGCCCTCAAACACCTCCTCTTCCACCGCACCCACTTCATCTCCGATCCTTTCCCTACAGAAGATTCCCCCGCCACTCCCAGTGTAAGTAACAAGGTCCTTCCAGCGTCTATAAACCAAGTCTCCAAGCGCCTCTTCCCAGGAGGCGGCGGCACTTAGTTCTCCCCCCCCCCCCGTGCCTTCTTTGGCATTGATTGGATGGTCACGTCCTTCAGCCTGGCCGAAAGAAATGGCACTTTCTCCCTCGGTTTCTTTTCCTTCTTCTTGCCCTCCTCCTTCCTCCCTTCCCCCCCCCCCGCGACTATTTCTTGCAACTTGGACCAGTGCGTGGAGAAGCGTTGCCCACGGCCTTTTCTATCCCCCGAGGAGTGGGAACCACGCAAAGAGGAAAACAGGAAAACAGGAGAGGGGGGGGGAGCAGACGCCACAGAGTGAACCATACACCCCCGAGCCACCCAAAGCCAGCTGAAATGCCTTCGCTCCCGCCGCTCAGCGAGTCCTACCTGGTCCTGCGATGGAGCCTGGCCTCCCCTGTTGCCTGGGTTAGACTGCGCCTGCTGCTGCTGCTCCTTCATGGCTGTCATTGTCCGGGGTGATGGGGGGGGGGGGGGAAATCGCACTTCCTTTGACGGCTGGCCCTGCAGGAGGAGAGCCCCTTCCCTCGGCCGCGCTTACATGGCACAAGCCTCCCCTTCTTCGCCAGCCGGAGCAAAAAGCCTAAGTAGCGAGCGACTCAGAGGCAAAGCGGGGAGCGAGCAATCAGTTCCCCAACCGGCAGAGAGACTGGAACCGGACCAGCCTGCGCCGCGCTCGCCGGCTACAGCAATCCAGCTCAGGCTGAAGCCACCGGGGGGGGGGGGAGGAGAAAGGAGCGCGCCCAAAAGGCTGGGGAGCTTCGATTAACGAGCGCGCGGCAACCTCGAGCCGGCAGCCACTTGGGACTTGGGAGGGCTCCCCGCGCAGGCACGCTCAGGCATTACTGCGGTGTGGGTGCCCTCAAGAGCGCGGCAGACTCGGAGAGCGCCGGCTGTGGGGAGAGAACTCCGGGAGAACCTGCGTCCCTCGGACGAAGCCGGGAGATAAGAAGAGGCGGGAAGCCCAAGCGCACAGTCTCTTCCGCCGCGTCTCTTCCGCGGCGGCTGGACCCCCGCAGTCCTGCGCCGCGAGCTCCGCGACTGGAGCTGAGGACGAAGAGCGCAGCGCTGCTCCTCGGACGGCACATTCGCTTTCCCTCCTCAGCTGGAATGGACCATTCAGAAGCTCAGGCACGGGGGGGAAGGGGGGCACGCTGCTGTGGATGGAGGAGGTAGTGCCGTCGTCTACCTGGCTGCTTGTACTAAAACCGCGACGCCGCCACCACGCCCCCCTCCTGTCCTCACGACTTGCCAAGAATTCAGTCTGGAGTGGCCCCGTTGAATCTTCACCTCGGAGCGAACCAGGCGGCTTATAATATTGGGAGGACGGCGCGAGCAAGGGAGGGAGGGAAGGGGGAAGCAATCGTATCCAGGACAAGGTGGAGGTTTGGCTTGGTGAGGAACTGGCCGAGCCACGAATGAGCCACTCGTGCGTGTAAAGACACACACACCATACACACCCAACCACACACACTCGCAGGCAGAGGAAGAAAACTGGCTAAGTTGCACGCACCAGCTTGGCTTTGACACGGCGAACGACGAGCGAGAAGCTAATGAGCAATTCAGCGTTTCAGAAAGAAAAAAAAAGCTTAGTTTCTGCCATTCCTTTATTCAGAATGCATATAACGTAGTAAACGCTATGCTTTCTAACTATTCTTTTCCTCTCAGAGAGATTGCTTTCAGGGTGGATTCAGACAGAGAGAAAGGGAGAAAAGCCGAATGGGTTCTAATTCTGAGCCCAAATCCATTTTAAGTAAGAAGCAAAATTTGAAGTTACCGACTTTGAAAGTCTTTGAAATTCTCTTAGGAACGTGCAAGTTTTGAAACACCCCCCCCCCTTTCATTTACCTTAGCAATGAACAATGATGAAAAATGAAGTAGGAAAGATTGTTAGATTAAAAACCTAGTTTGTTTAGGCAAATGCCCTTTGTTAGTGTGTTCATAAGAGTTTCTTTCAGGACATGACTTCAAGGTACATGATTCACAATAACTAAAGTATAAAAGGAAGTCAACGGGGAACCCACATATCTGGTTCTAAGATCCAGTAGAAAGAAAAGCAGGGCGGAAGTGTAATGAATTTAAAAGTATTGCTTTTTTACTCCCTTTCTGAAAATATTACAAATTTGGTTAAATAATCATGCCTGCTTTTTTCTAAATGATATGCTATGAACACCTGATGTTTACAAACTTTTTGAGTATTCAACATCGGTTATATTATGGGACTGTTTTAGCATTGCATACAATGCGATAACCACCTCAGGAAGCATAGCACCAAATTTAGTTATAAAAATGGTTTGTAGAGCCAGGAAGAAGATGGTGGGGTTTTGTTTTGTTTTGTTTTGCCTTTGGGACCTGATAACCCTTGGATACCTTGATTTGATTTAGGATAGAATAAGATCACATTTGATTTCAGACAATAAAATCCCAGGGCTGGTTTTGATCAGACTCATTTAATCTCATACGATCCGACTCAGTCTCATATGATGAGACATATTTCTTAAAAAACCATATTCTTAAAAATATGAAAATTCTCATTTCAATCTAATCCAATCTAATCTAATCCAAGAGAAATAATCGATAATAAAAAAAAGTTTCTTCCAACATATTAACAACAAGAAAAAAGTGAAGGAAACTGTAGGTCCACTAAAGAGAGAAGATGGCAAGGAAATAACAGGCAACAGGCAGAAAGAAAAGTTGCTTAACTCATACTTTGCATCAGTCTTCACACACAAAAAAACTATAGCCCAGTTTACCCCCCCCCCAAAAAAAAACCACTACAAAAGACAAATTAGAAACAAAAAATAATCAAGAAAATGATAAGAGAACACCTATCCGACCTTGACACCCTATCTGATTGGCCGTACTCAGCGTGTGGTCCTCAATGGAACCGCATCTACATGGAGGGAAGTGTGTAGTGGGGTGCTCCAGGCCTCTGTTCTGGGCCCAGTGCTCTTCAACATATTCATTGGGGGATAGATGGGGATCATAATAGATGGGGATCACGAGGGGATAGATGGGGAACTCATCAAATTTGCAGACGACATCAAGCTGGCAGGAATAGCCAACACTCAGAAGACAGGCTTAGGATACAGGAGGATCTGGACAGATTTGAACACTGGGTGCTATCTAACAAAATGAAATTCAATGGTGAAAAAAATGAGGTTCTACATTTAGGCAAGAAAAACCAAATGTACAGGTATAGTATAGGGCAGTGGTTCTCAACCTTTTTAATGCTGTGACCCCCAACCGTTCGTAAGTCGAGGACTACTCAACCGGTCGTAAGTCGAGGACTACTCAACTGTTGCAGCACCGTTTGCAGAATGGGACTTTTGGCGGGCTCAGCAGGGCAGAGACAGCCTGGACAATTCCTATTTGCTTTTGAAAGCCAATAGAATTAGACTCTATTCAAGAGAGTCTATTCTATTGGCTTTCAAAAGCCAATAGAATAAAAGGGAGTAGCACAGCTAAGGAAAAGGGGGGGGGAATGGCGGACTGCATTGTTTGGCGACCCCTATGAAATGGTCGTTCGACCCCAAATGGGGTCCCGATCCACAGGTTGAGAACCACTGGTATAGGGGGTACCTTGCTCAATAGTAGTAACTGTGAGAAGGATCTTGGAGTCCTAGTGGACAATCATGTCCCTATCTGTAAACAAATCACTAGCCTACAAGGACAGATCATTTACCTAGGGTCTGTAATCCGTGCTCTTCGGGCAGAAATTAGGTGTCCAGTTCAGCCCCTCTACTCTAGTAAGCCTCCCTGCTATCAGCCCCCTTTACCACAAAGATCCTGCAGGAAAAGGGCAGTGTGGACAACCGTGGGATCTGGCAGGGTGAGAGCTGTGAACCATAAACACAAAGCTTTCGCTGTGTCCCTGCACAACAGCTACAGTGCTCTTGCTGACCTTAATAGGGACATTAAGGAGACTGGTAAAGGTATTTGTGAAGATAACTCAAATAAGCAGGGGATTGTGGTCCGAGATGAAGAACTAGATTTTGATAGGGAGAAGTGTGAATCAGGTATTGCACATCAGTCATGCAAGAATAGAAAGGCTCCCAAAAAGAGAAGCTACCTTCTGGTAGGTGATTCAATTATAAGGGATGTAAATTTAGGAAAGGACACAGAGGCTTTGAAAGAGGTCAGGTGTCTTCCAGGTGCTACTGCCAGTAGGGACAAGAAGCGTATTTCTAAAATAATCAAGAATGGCAGCAAGGACTGTGATGTGGAGGCTATTGTACACCTTGGCACTAATGATCTGTCCCAAAAAGATGTACTCTCTGTGCAGAATGATTTCCAGAGCTTGGGGAAGGAACTTAGCAGAATAGGCTGTAGGCTTACTTTCTCAGAGGTTTTACCAGTGTATAAGGAGCAAAACGGAAAAGGCCAGCGCATAGCACAATTCAATATGTGGCTAAAGGAATGGTGTAAAGGGGAAGGCTTTGGATATATTAGTCACGATGTCAGTAGCTGGTCCAATCAAAAGATGTACAAAAGAGATGGTTTGCATCCATCAAAAAAAGGGACTGAGTTACTCGGCTATAAATTCACAGATTTTCTGGAGGGAAATTTAAACTAAACAGCGGGGACAGGGAGTTAATTGATACGGAACAACCCTGTCCCCGGCAATTTAAAAACTATAGGGCTATCAGTGCATGTAGCACAGATGTGTGTGTGGACAAGAATACCAACCTTGCTACCAATCAAAATGAAGCCTCTAATAGCGAGTGCCATATAAAGTGCACTAACCAAATAGGTGGTAAGACAATAGGGGAACTCAGGCACCACACAGGTTATGTAGAAAGGAAACACAGGGCCACCCACAAAGGACTCAAATGTTTATACACCAATGCACAAAGTATGAACAGCAAACAGGGTGAACTAGAAATTCAGGTTAATGAGGGCAGATACGATATTGTTGCCATTACGGAAACATGGTGGGATGAAACTCACACATGGAACACACAGCTAGAGGGATTTAAATTATTTAAAAGAAACAGACCAAATAAAAGAGGAGGTGGAGTTGCTCTCTATATAAGAAATAACTACATCTTCACAGAAATAGAGTACAACAATGATAAAAACTGTCTTGAATGCATTTGGGTCAATATAAAAGGGGGGGGAAATGACATTGCCATAGGTGTATACTACAGACCACCCAACCAAACAGAGGAAATAGATGAACTTTTTGCTAGTCAGCTAACTAAGGTATGTAGGAAGCACATCACAATAGTAATGGGGGACTTTAACTACCCTGACATCAACTGGGAGACAAACTCCGCACCAAGTGGAAGATCAAACAGGTTCCTGGCAAACCTAGCAGACAACTTTGTCTCCCAAAAAGTAGAGAATGGAACTAGGGGATTAGCCATTTTGGATCTAATTCTCACTAACAGAGATGAAATGATAGACGGTGTTGGAGCCATAGGAACCCTGGGAGGAAGTGATCATGCAATATTAGAATTCAACATTATAGAAGCAC